CCTGCCGGCAGCAGCCGGGGGGTGGCCAGGCCTTGGGTGACACCGCGTTCGCTGCCCTCAGCGCCATGGGGCAGCCGGGCTGGGTCGTACCTGCGCCTCCGTGTCCCTGATGAGCAGCAGCGCGGGGCGGCCAGGCTGGGCCCCGCACCGGTACAGGGTCAGCAGGCTGAAGCCGTCCCGCCTGGTGCAGTACAGCAGGCTCCAGGGCTGCTCCATCAGCCGGGGGGGCAGGTGGGGGCCCAGCTGGGGCAGGGTGGGCTCAGCCAGGGCTGGCTGGCGGCTTTGGAGCATCCTCCTCCTGCCCCGAGCAGCCTCCAAGAGCCCTCCCTGAGCATCCTCCTCTCCCCACTCCCCAGCCACGTCCCCAAACATCTTTCCTCCAAGTGTTCTCCTGAGAGGTCTCTCCAAGCCCTCTCCCCTCCAAGCACCCTCCTCCCACCCAAGCTTTCTCCTGAAAGGTATCCCCAAGCATCCTCCCCCCAGGCATGCTCCCAAGGGGTCTCCTCAAGCTTCCAGCCCAACCAGCAGCCTCCCAGGATGCCCCCCCCCCCCCCCCCCTTGATGGCTCCCAAGCACCACCCCCCTGCCCCTGCACCCCCAAGAGGTGCTGCTGAGGGGCTGTCCCTGGGGACAGGGGGATGTCACCCATCTGGCCTCGCACTGGGCCAGTTCCTGGCGGGACAGCGGCCACGGCTGCAGGGCCAGAGGTGAGGGTGGGGTCCCCATGCTGGCGGGAGGGTGCCTCACCTCCTGGACCTCCCTGTCCTGCAGGATGCTGCTCGGCGTGCTCAGCACCAGCCTGCACGGCTCCTCCAGGGCCGGGGTCGCTGCTGGGGCTCCCTCCCAGCCTGGCTGCCCCTCTCCGGCCGGCTCCCCGCATCCCATGGGCTGCTCCTCGTCCTGCTCGGGCTGGGGGCAGGTGGAGGTGAGCATCCCTGCGGGCCCGAGGCAGCAGCATCCTCAAACCCACCCTGCATGGGGTGGCTCCCATTCTGTGTCAAGGGGCCCAAAGGCTGTGGGGCTGGGCACTGGGCTGAGCCTCCAGCCCAGCTCCTGGCTGCCCGCTGCTCCCAACAGCCCTGCCGGGCCATGCCGTGCCGTGCCCTCGCACCCTGCCAGGCCATGCCACCACTGTGCACGGAAGGTCAAGGGTGTGGGGCCGCCCGAGGAGGAAGGGGAGAGGAGGAAGCGAAGCCGGGGAGGCTTACACAACTTCAGCCCCAGCAGAAGGGGCAAAGCCTGGCCTTATGCCTCCTCGCCCACAGCCGTCCTGGCGCCGCAGCGTGCCTGGGGTCAGGGATGTGCCCTGCTCCTGGTGGCAGCTGGTGACAAGTGTCCCAGCCGGCCATGTGCGCAGGGCGGCTGTGAGTGCAGCCCCTGCCCAAGGGCAGGTGGGCAGCAGGTCCCTGCTGCCAGTGGGGGACAGGCAGAAAACACCCTGGGAGGACAAGAGGGACATGCGAGGGCAGCCCCAGGTGGCAGGAGAGCTCCTGCCCCCAGGGTGCCTGGATCCTCAGGGGGCAACGGGGCTAAAGAGGCCGGTTCTGAGCGTGCCCATAGCCCTCCGCACCTCCCCAGCCCCTGGCCACGCGTCCAGCCGGTGCCTCCCAGTGCTGCCCTGGAGCTGGTGCCCAGCACCCACGCTGCCGCGTGGGACCCCATCACGCTGGACTTACCAGGAGGTGGTAGCAGGCACGGAGCCCCCTCATCGCGGGCCTGCAGGTGCTGCTGGGGTGCTGGGCGCCGCGCTGCCGGGGAGCCCGCGACACTGCCCCGGGTTAATGTTCACCTGGCCCCTCCCTGGGCACCCAGCGCGTGACACGGGCGGGTGGGGATGCTGGCAGCCTGCCTGGGCTCATGGGGGCCCGAGGAGTGTCCCCCTGCAGAGCCAGGTCCTGCGTGGTGCTGGGACGGGTGGGCAGGCGTCCCCCTCCAGCCAGGTGCTGGGGGCCCGGTGGCCGTCACCTCCTTCACACCCTGGCCGCTGCCTGGGCCAGGCTCCAGATCGCCATCGCCAAGCAGGGAGCCCCAAGGCCATGGAGGAGCCCTTGTTTTGGGATCAACAGGCAGCTCGTGCCTGTGTTGCTCTTTGCAACATGACTGTTGCAATGGTTGTAGCAACTGCCAACACCTGCCTGGCGGACGTGGTGGCACATGCCCCTCGCTCGGGTAGATGCAGCCTGGGTTGCCGTCCTGCCGGCGGGTGAGCTGGGGCCCTGGGAGAGCTGGGGCACCGTGGCTGCAGGAGGAGTGAACCCCCCCTCAGGTGCTGCTGGCGAAGCTCCTGCCAACCAGGGAGGGGCCGCGGTGCCCCAGTGTGCCCCCTTCCCACTGATGCCCCCAAAAACCAGCCAGCACAGCCGTGAGCCTGTGGGCCCCACCGTAACAACGTCCCATTTACGCCAATACAGGAGTTTCTGCATGCCCTGGCATGGTGGCACAATGGCCACGATGGCCTCTCCCTGGCCCCACGGCAGGCGTTTTTGGGGTTGCTCCTCGCCTCCATGGCAGGGCCCATTGCAGCCCCATCAGTCCTGGCTGCCCCGGTGGGTGGTCCCAGCTCCACTGTCCCCACTGGGCTTTGATGGCAGCAGTGGCCCCAGGATGGCAGCAGGAGGTCGGGGGTGCCTGGCCACTGGCAGGGCCCTGGGTGGGCCAGGAGGTCCCGGTGGCCCCAAAAGCCTGCCCTGGGACCCACCCCTGCGCAGGAGCCAGGACAGGGCACGCCAGCCCTGCAGCAGAGCAGCCATCCCTGCCCCTTCCATACCCCACCCATGCCACGCTCTACCCAGCCCCTGCCTTGCCCTGGACACCGCACCTGCCCCTGCGGAGATGTCCATCTGCTTTTTGGTGTTTTCCCTCCTGACCCCTGTGTTTGCTCTCAAGTCCCCTCACAACCCCTTCCCATGCCTCCTGGAGCCCCCACTCACTCTCTAGTATCATTCCCCCCCGCTCCCTCCCCCAACACAGAGTGCACAGGAGGTGTCTAAAAGTCGCAGTTTATTATGCTCCTGGACATGCCACGCAGCCGGCAGCCCGAGCAGCTCAGCCACCGCGTGCCCCCGCTGCGGGGCTGCTGCAGGGCCTGCCCCGGCCCGAGCACGGGGGGGCTGAGCCGGGCTCCCATCAACAACCCCCCACCAAAGCGCTAATAGCAGTGCAGTAAGGCAAAAGTTTTAATTGTCCAGAAAGAAAGAAGAGCTGTTGCCACAACTGCCTGGGCATGTCGGGCTCTCCGTTGCTCTGTACCAGATGCAGCTTGGTTTCCACGTTGTCACAGTCCCAGCCCTTCTGCTCTTTCTTGGGATGGGTGAGGAAGCTGGCTGCCTGCCACGCCAACACCAGGGAGAAGGCTTTCACACTGCGATGACCGCTCCCCCGTGCCACGACACAACCAGCAGAGCAAGAAGCCTGCTGGCTTTGCCCCAGTGGGTCACATCCATGGGGGAAGCAGCAGCAGCTCTGAGCAGAGACAGAGGGGAGCCGTGGGGGAAGCGAGGGGCAGTGCTTGAACCGAGTCCTCCACACACAGCCACAAGATACCACACCGTACATGCAAGAGGGTAACACGGGGAAGTGTGTATCCCACAGCATTAAGTGGTCATGGAGCACCTGGAGCCCAACAACTCCACAGCAGCAGTAGCTGAGGCTCCTTCTTGAAGGGGAGATTTTGACACCCCCTGGTCCCTAGCCCAGGCAGGCAGCTTGCTCATTCCACATCCAGGCTGCTGCCCCGAGCATCACAACGGCCCGGCTTCGTTACCCTACAGAAGCTGGGCGAAGCAGGACTCTGTCTCCACAGTAGCGTTCATAGCAGCGAGACCCCGTAACGACTCTGTGCCGCTCCTGACATGAAAGCATCTGTGCTGCTTCAATAGGATACAGCAGTTACCCGGTACCCACCCTGCTCCTGCTTTCACCCCAATTCCAGCTCTTACTAGTGCCTGAGCGCCAAGAGTATTACCTGCGGCAGCAGCTTCAGCGGTCCTCCTTCCAACAGGTCATTCATCCTTGATCACCTGTTTGTTTCACAAGCACCCGCTGTGCCTGAGCACACATGATTTCTCCAGACCCCACAACAGCAGAACCAAGAAATGGCATCTGCAGCCAGGGCTCAGGCACCAGGTACCCAGAGATCGCCTTGCGCCAAGCAGGAGCATTCCTGGTCAAAGCAGTGAAGAGGAAGTGTCCAGGAGAAGCAAACATCTCCAAGAAGCAGGCAGTAAACAGTTTTTGATCCAAGCTCTTTCTGGGCCAGAGATTCAGCCCTGGTTTTAGCTCAGACACCTTCTCCAGTTCCTGCTGGACTGCCCAGAGTTGATGGTGGAGGTCGCAGTGAAAAGCACAGCTGAGGGAAGGAGGGAGATGCTCCAACAGAGGCACTGCAGCTCCTACTTGTAGCTCATACAGTCTCTGCACTGAGCCCACAGCTCAGGAGGGTATTCCCAGAAGAACCTCAGCCCTTTCTTTCAGTAGGAAACATTCCCAAAGTCAGACCTCACTCAGGGAACCTTCCCCACCCACCCTGCATACCCCAAGCTTTGCACGTTCCTTAGTGGTCCATGTCCCAGGGAATGGTGGGCACAATCCTTATTTCAAAACAAGCATGGCCTCTGTCCCATCTTGCCTTGTCAAGTGCAGTCCGTGAGTGAGGTAGTACTCCCGCCGGAGGAAGGCATAGAAATAATCCGAGATGAGCAGGATCTGCAGAAGTGAGATGTTCAGACACGTCAGTGATGCTTCAGCACAAGGAATAAGGGACATGTGTCTGTGATGGACCCTGAAGGGGTTTAAGAAGTTCTTCGGCTGTTCATCACATTTTGTGAGAGGAGACACTGTGACCCTGTGAACACTCCTTGTCCTTTGCCTTGCACCATTAAGCCAAGGGAGCCTTAAACTCATCTATTTGTTGTGCTACCAGTGTGTTCTCACAGACCTCTCCGCTAAGGAGACAGTAGCTCCATAAACTGGCCAAAATATAAGACAACAGCAGGTCCACCTGTGCCACAGCTTTACAGACCACCTCAGCCTCACCCACAGGACTCCTTCCACGCAAGCGCCGTCATGCAGCTCGACCCAGATGCCGACGGTCGCCTGCTGCTGACTGCTATTAAGCACTTTTCAGTTGTGATTGTTTTTCAACTGCCTTTTCTACTCAGAAAGGGTAAGAAGCTTGCAGGCAGCGGAAGGAATACCACAGCTCCCCAGGTCAGCCTTAGCAAACAGAAGCTTGAGCAGTTGAACAAAATACTACTTACCAGGCTACAGGGTGAAGAGAAGAGCTGAAATGTCAAGGCTGTGGCTTCACAGTACAACACCCAGGAGCCACACCAGCTAAAAGCACTCCTGCCACCCCCATCACTTCTGCTCTCCCTCCTGCCCCTGGCTGCCATGCCCTCTCTGTGGGGCAGCCAGCCCCACGTATACATTTGCACGCCGTCTCCCTTTGGTGAACAGAGCTGGCTTCCCCCAGGTTTTCCCCCGACCCAGGTCCGCGCACGCTGCCACACACCCCGATGTTGGCACTGTCCCCTGTTGCTCGGGAGATGGGCATACCTTAGGTGGCTACGGCCACCGGCTGCGTTGTAGTGCGAAATCACAACTGAAGTGCCTTGCAGAGAACCACAGTGAACGTGGGAACGTGATGTGGAAATCACAAGGTGCCTCCCCTCCTCAGCCCCGCTGTGGTTGTACTGAGGCACCACAGCGTGACTGCTCCCTCGCCTGGGGCACTGAGAACGCAGGAGTGGGCCTCAGGGGTTTTTCTAAGCAGTCACCTCAGGCAAGCTGCCTCTGCCGGGCAGCTGGGCTGCTGCAAGCGCAGGCAGCGACCTGCTGCCTCAGTAATGCCTTTTGTCGTTTAGCCTCTTGTAGTGCCACCCTTCCCCAGGAAGGCTGACCTCCTCCATCTGGAAACAGCATTGCATAACTGGAGTGGAAGAGACTAGAGTGGTGAAGCAGGGAGAGCAAGCCCTGGCACAACTGGGACCCTGCACGTGCCCACAACCCTACATTTCGGTGAGGTATAACGCTCAGAAAAAGCGGTGCCATGTCCCCGTGTACAGGCAGTTCTCATTTGCCTGTTGTCTGGCCCCACTGCTGCTGCCCCATGTCTTTCTCCATTTCCCCTCTTAGCTCCCCTTCTCCATACTCCTGCCATACCGAGATGCTTTTCCTCTGCTATCAAGCAACAGAGCATGTAACCTGCAGTGCAGCCTCATTAGACTGTTAAGCTATAGCTATAGGTCAAATACGACAAGAACTCTTTCCATTAGTGTGCCAGAAGGTGAGGCCTAGGCAGACCTCAGCTGGAGCAAGGAGAGGCAGGAGCAGCTATGCAGGACTACGCAGGATGCAGAGAGCCAGACACATCCCGCAGAATTCACTGCTGCTGACAGGACACCCGAGCCAGTGACCTACCCAAAGTGCCGCCTTGTCTTCCTTGCTCTACTAACCTGCCCTACGTTGAAAGTCAACGTGATGGCGTAATAAAAATTGGAGTTGGCACTTCCTGCATAAATCCATAGATGCCACAGGACGGGGAACAGGAGGGAGCAGACAATGAGCACACATGAGAGGATGAAGATGTTCCGGAGGACTGCAGAAGAAAACCAAGCTGTTAAAATGATGCATTATTGAGCAGCCATGATCACGCAACCAGCAATGGTATTTAGGGTATGTGCAGTGGGGGAGAGGCACTTGCCAGTAC